AGGACTGGAAGGGACCTCGAGAGGTCATCGAGTCCAGTCCCCTGCCCACATTCTCATAAGCAAACTAGGGAAACATGGTCTACATGAAATTTTACTATAATGTGGGTACACAACTAGTTGAAAGACCATACTCAACGAGTAGTTGTCAATGATTCACTGTCCTAGTCATAGTGGATGATAAACTGAATGAGTCAATATTGTGATACAGTTGCAAAAAAAGGCTAACATCGTGCTCGCTGTATTAATAGGACTGTCCTATGTAAGAAACAGAAGGTAATTGTCCTGCTCTACTCTGCACTGGTGAGGCCTCAGCTGGAGTACTGTGTCCAATTCTGGGTGTCACACTTCAGGGAAGATGTGGACAAATTGAAGAGAGTCCAGAGGAGAGTAACAAAAATAATACAAGATTTAGAAAACCTGACTTATGACGAAAGGTTAAAAAAACTGGGCATGTTTAGTCTTTGAGAAAAGAAGACTGAGCGGGGACCTGATAAGTCTTCAAATATGTTAAGGGCTGTTATAAAGAGGATGGTGATCGATTATTCTCCATATCTACTGAAGGGTAGGACAAGAAACAATTGGCTTAATCTGCAGCAAGGGAGATTTAGGTTAGATATTAGGAAAAACTTTCTAACTATAAGGGTAGTTAAGCTCTGGAATAGGCTTCCAAGAGAAGTGGTTGAATTCCCATCATTAAAGATTTTTAAAAACAAGTTGGACAAACACCTGTCAGTGATGATCTAGGTTTACTTGGTCCTGCCTCAGCAGATGGGGCTGGACTTAGTGACTTCTTGACTCCAGCCCTACATTTCTATGAGTCTGTAGCACTTGCCTTTATGGTATGAGGGCAGACAGTGGCTATAAAAAGCTCATGCAAGTTGGCACAACTCCATTGATTTCAAAGAAGTTCTACCAGTTTATCCCAATGTTGAATTTGGCCTACATTTTTTCCCCCTACATGAGTGGCACAGGAGCATGGTAATTAGCAACATTCACTCCCAGAACTACTTCTGCATACTTCCCCCACCGGAAACAAGTAATCCAAAGGTTACTCCTGATCTCACGTTTATTACACGATATATGACTTATTCCTTCAATACCACTAGGCTACCCAGCATACTTCTCCTTTGAGGGAATGCCAGTAGAATATACGAGGTACTCACAAGATGACATCTTCTGCTGATAAGCGCTGAGATAAAACATGAGCATTTATGAAAATTAAATGTTGGTGTTTCCAAGGTAGTGGAAACAATGGTTCTTTGACAGCATTTTATTACAGTGAATGTAATTCTTGAATCTGATTGTTAATGCAGTAGTATGACAGTTTATTGCTATTTCATTATCAAGTAGCCTTGTTTTGAACCGAGTACAGAATAGACATGGTCTGTGCTTTGTTCGGTTGTACACAACCAATATGATGTAGTACTGTGAATAAGATCTGACTCAATTTTATTTTCACTTTAACTGATAAATAAAAGAGTATCTACTAAGCCAGTGCCTCTCAACCTTTCCAGACTACTTACTCCTGGGGGAATTCTGCGCTGCTACATGCATAATTAATGAGCCCCGCAGATTTCTCTCTTTTTTTGGGCAGAAAAAAAGCTGTGAAAATGTTGCTGTAGTTCTGCTTTTTGCCCACCAGAGGGCGCTGTGGCAATAGAACAAAGTTGCAGCTCCCTGCCAGAGAGGGAAGAGAAAGAGCTGCCTTCTTCCCAGCGCTTTTCTGGCCAGGTCAGGAGGCAGACAGTGTGGGGTTCTGTGGGTGTCAGACAGGGACTCATAAGGGCTAGTGGGGGAAGACAAATTGGGGCAGGGGCTGAATGGGAGTGGAGGCATGGCCATGGGGGGAGGGAGGTGCAGAGACACATAGGGGGAGGGGGTGGGGAGAGGCAGGGGGTGCAGAGCTACATGGGGACAGAGGGTGGCTGGGTGGGGGTACAGGGAGACAGGGACGGGAGTGGCTGGGTGGAGGCACAGACACATGGAGACGGGAGGGGGTACAGGGATGGGGGTGGCTACGTGGAGGCATAGAGACACATGGGATGGGGGAAGGGGTACAGAGAGACATAGGACAGGGGAACGGCTGCATGAGGACACAGACACACATTGGGACGGCCAGATGTGCCTGACTGAATAGGAGAGACTAGGGGTCAACCAGGGTCTGCATGGGGGAAGCTCCCTAACAATCCCTTCCCGCCCCCCTTAAAAACCTGTTCCATACTTTTCCCACCCATACCCAACAACCCTCCAAGTTCACACCCAGGCTCATTCCCAGCAATTTACTTCCCTCTCCCTCAGCTCCTCCATTACCCCTGAATCTCCCAAGCCTTTGCACTGCTTCTGAGGGGTGCGGGAAATACAGTTCTGTATTGTAGTTTAAATGAATTATTACTCAGAGTTCTGTATTAATATGCCTAGTAAGGAATCTATTTGTCAAAAAACATTTCCTGAATCTTTTTTGTCGTCTGTATTGTTACAGACATACTTGCTTAGAGGTATTTTGAAATAAATGACCAAAAATAATTGAAACTGGTGTGATTATATTGTGTTATTTTGACAAATAAAATATGCAGAATTTTAAAATATTGTGCGCAGAATTCCACCAGGAGTAACTACTGTACCTCTTTCAAGAGTCTGATTTGTCTTGTGTACCCTCAAGTTTCACCTCACTTAAAAATTAACAAAATCTGGCATAAAAATACAAAAGTGTCACAGCACACTATTACTTAAAAATTTCTTTCTCATTTTACCATATAATTATAAAAAATCCATTGGAATATAAATATTGTACTTACACTTCAGTGTATAGTTTACAGTAGTATAAACAAATCATTGTATATGAAATTTTAGTTTGTACTAACTTCACTAGTGCTTTTTATGTAGCCTGTTGTAAAACTAGGCAAAAATCTAAATGAGTTGATATGAGTACCCCCAGCGGTACATGTACCCCTGGTTGAGAACCACTGTACTAAGCAATCTGGCTGCTAAATTCCATTTGGTGCAGACTTTAGTTTCAGGCACGTCCTCTTAAAAAACTGAGTTGAAATTCCAGTAATTATTGGTATTCAATCCAATACTGTCTGGAGGCCGTAAAGGCAGAGAGAGATGCTACTTGGGGCTGGTCCACACTAACCCCCCAGTTCGAACTAAGATAGGCAACTTCAGCTAAGTTATTCATGTAGCTGAAGTCGAAGTATCTTAGTTCGAACTACAAGGTACTTACCGCGGGTCCACACGCGGCAGGCAGGCTCCCCCGTCGACTCCGCGTACTCTTCTCACAGAGCAGGAGTACCGGTGTCGACAGCGAGCACTTCCGGGATCGATATCGCGTCTAGACAAGACGCGATAAATCGATCCCAGAAGATCGATTGCTTACCACCGAACCCGGAGGTAAGTATAGACGTACCCTCAGTCTTTTTTTCATAATCAGTCCAGCTTGAGCCTTCTGTATTGATTTCTTTCTTATTAAATATTGCCCTTTCCTGACAATTTATGGCTTAAACAATTTACCTCAGCAGCCACAGGAACCAGAGTTCCAAAGTGCAGAAAATCAATGACAATTTTTAAAAACTGAGATATAGTTGTACAACCGTTTACAGTACAAGCAATGGTTCTCTACAAAACAAACTGCAAGCTCCCAATCTATTTCAATGTATATTGCTGACTAGATAGTGTCCAGCACACGTAACACCAATAGTTTCCTCTTTAACTTTTTAAAAGCATACGTACTTGTTTTGTGTATGGTACTCTCTCCATAAGCATCTCAAAGACTTGTGGTGGTAGTGTATTGTGCAAAAGCTGCAGTAGCTGATGTGGCTGTGCGCACACTGAAATAGCATTAGTGAGGTGCTCCACACTCTTCTTATGTTCTCCTGAAGCAAATTCATATTTTTAACTACATTTTAGAGTTGATTGGAAAACATTTTTCCCCCATCCCAGGAAATTTTTTTACTTTTCATACCAACCCCCCCTCAAAAAAAAAAAAAAAAGACCTCCCCCCCCTTTTTTTGGTTTTCCAATGAAAAGTCAAGTATTTGAGGAAAGTAGACCCCCTTCTGCAAAAGTGTTCATTTACTCAGAAACCCAAGTTTCCATAAATGCTTGGTGGAGGGGCTACCTGAATTAGGGAGAACAAAGGAGGAGTAATTTTAAGTGATTGGGCTAGTGCTAGGGTTTGTGTCTTTTGGGGAAAGCTCTTTGGAGTGGAGGGTGCAGTGAGAAAGGTGAAGGAGAAGACGGTTGGGATGTAATAGGAATCTTCTTTAGCACATTTCAGTGGCTTTTTTAAAATTCAGTTTTACTTAGGGCTTGGCTACACTTGCAAGTTACAGCGCAATACAGGAGCCCCGGGCACACTAGCTCACTCCCCGTCCACACTGGCAAGGCCCGTAGAGCGCTTTGACTCCGCGGCTACAGCGCTGCTGGTACTCCACCTCGGCGAGTGGAATAACGTTTGCTGCACTTGGCTACAATGCCCAGGCGTCAGTGTGAATGAGGTGTTGTGTTACTGCGCTCTGATTGGCCTCCGGAAACGTCAAATAATCCCCTTAAGTCAAGTGGCCACTCTTGTCATTGTTTTGAACTCCTGTAGGAATGTGGAAATGCCCTTTCATAGCTCCGTTTCTGACAGCCGACATGCAAGCCGTTACTGTGGAATGCTGTGTGTGAGAGAGAGGCAGGCGAGGGGGAGATCTGCTGCTCTCTGAACTTACAAGACAGCATGCTGACATGCTCTCAGCCCCCGCAAAACCCACTCTCTCTCCCCCCACATACACACAACACTCCCTGTCACACTCCACCCCACCCCTCCCATTTTAAAAGCACGTTGCAGTCACTTGCATGCTGGGATAGCTGCCCATAATGCACTATTCCTAATGCCGCTGCAAGGGCCGCAAATGTGGCCACGCCAGTGCGCTTGAAGCTGTCAGTGTGGACAGACTGCAGCACTTTCCCCACTGTGCTCTACGAAGGCTGGTTTAACTCAAAGCGCTCTACATCTGCAAGTGTAGCCATGCCCCTAGTTAAAAGTTCAGTTCCTAGGAGGGGGTTGGTTAATAAGTTACTCAATTTCAGACCTGCTATAACCCCTCTCGACATTGCTTTAAAAATCTTTTAACTCTTTGTAATCCAGTAACAATTTTTAATTCTCCAAATCTAATTGAAATTTCACTTCCCTTTGCCTCCTCCCCCACCTACTTTCAAGTGTAGGAATTCCTAGCAGCATCAGCATCAAGCCTGGTGCTATCCACCATCCTGAAATAAGGTGGAGCAGACAGTGCCTGACTGAGGCATGTGCAATATGCTTGAGGTCTGACAAAACAATTTAGTTTGTCTGTGCTAAAATGATACTGCACCTCGACTTCAGCTGAGCATTTCAAGGCAATTTCTGTGAAAACCAAACCAACTGCAATACACATCCTGCACAGCTGTTGACAAGAGTTCATGCTTATGTCCTTACCTCTAGATAACCAGTATTCTCCCAGCTGCACCTCTTGCAGAAAGAATTCCTGTACCCTTCCAATATTTTTCATCTCGCATAACTAAAGATGTTATCAAATATGTTTAGCTTAGAAATAAGATGTATCAGTGCAACAAAGACATCTCTGTAGTTACTGTGAAAACTGGTAGTAGTGAAAAAGATTTCTCAAAAGATTAATTTTCAGTGCTGTTTTGTAAATTGCCATTTAGACTTATATTTGTCAAACCTCTGGAGGTCACTGTTTGACACATCTTTGATTTCCCTCCTCCACTCCATGGGTCATTTTGCTTTTCCCAGACTGTTGACCGAAACAATATTGTTTAAAAAAAAAAAAAAAAAGCCTACAGAGGTTTGACGACAAGGTTCTGTAGTCTGGGGTTGGGAATTATCTTAACTTGCTATATTAGTAAAAATGATTTCAGTGCTGCCTGCTAGCACAAAATGGGTGTTGGTGAAGGGCGGTGGCTGCTCTTTGGGGAGATTATAGCTCTGCAAACCAAGGTTGCTCCCTGCACTGAATTCTGGAATACATAGTTTGCTTTGTCTTCATGATAAAAATAAAATATCTCAATAGGGACTGAGGATGTGGCTGTAGTGAAAGATGGGAATGCCCACAAAGACATGGTAGATGAGTCTCTCCTCACATCCCCCCACCTTGGGAAGTGAGGCAGGAGAGGAAGTACTAATGGTGGATAATTGTATCCTTTGACTATATCTACTTTCTCTAGCAAATTAAGATTAGCCAAAACTTTATGAATGTAAAAGTGAGCTGCAGGTGTGCTACAAATTTACTAAATCAAAAACAACTTTAGTCTCAAATATGTATTAGAGTTAAAAGGACACAGTCAACTTGAAATAGTTATTGTTAAAAACTAATTTCAGGTACTAAACTTGACCATAAATCCCTTGCCCCCCTCCACCCATCCCCAGTGTAGGGGGAGATTTTCAAGGGTACAAATGAGTTGGGTTCCTAATTCCCCTTTGTGCTTTGGCTCAGGTCAGTACAACCAAAAAGACATTCAATTTTAAGTTAGTATTCTTTCTACTAAGTTTAAGTGATTTTTAAACTGAGTGTTTTACCTCAGCATCATGCTCTTTAGCTTTTTCACGTTCTTTTCTTCTTTCTGTAAATGTAACATGGTGCATTTAACATCTAAGCTTAATAGTTCAGCACTCCAAAAAGATTGTCAAGTCTGCTTCTCCAAAGTTTTTTTCCATATTAGTGTTATCTCATCCAAAAAGTGCTGATGCTCTAACATGAAAACAGATATAATTGGAAGATAGAGATATGAGAGAAACCTATAAAAGTAAATTGTACCTAATTTTTTTTATTTATAAATAGTTTTAAACTCTTCTTGAACTGACTGTCTTGTTAAATTTTCTGTAACATGTCACCTCTTCTCTAAAATGAGAGATGCTCAGGGAGTTGAATTTGCCATATAGATATTTGTTGATACTTTATTAAGTACACCAAAATATTTTCAAATTAAAAAACGGAATCATGATCGGAAGGAAGCCAAGCTACATTTCAGTTTTATGTTGTTGATGAGCTCATATGTTCTACTGCAAACACTTCAGAAATTCTTGATCCAGACAGAATTTAGCCAAGTAAGCATCTGGAGTGAGATTTTCAAAAAACCATGGCCTGCTGCTCCTAAGTCACTTTGCCACTTTTAAAAATGTTACGCTATGGCCAAGATTTGTAAAGGTATTTAGGTGCCTAGTGGGATTTTTCAAACCACTTGGTGCCTAACTCCCATGGTACATAAGCAGTGTTGTAGATAGTCCTCTAATGGGATTTTCATCTTTAGGCACCTAAATATCTTTAGAAATTTGGCCTTAGGTGTTTTAGAAGTCTAGGTCCTATTCTCAAGTGAATTATTAGACACTTAGGGCTTGGCTACACTTGCAAGTTAGAGCGCATTAAAGCAGCCCCAGGCGCCCTAACTCCTGACCCGTCCACACTGGCAAGGCACTTAGAGCACCTGGACTCTGCAGCTGGAGCACTCCTGGTAATCCACCTCCACGAGAAGCATAACGCTTGTTGCGCCTGGGCTGAAACGCCCCAGCGTCAGTGTGAACGAAGTGTTGCATTACTGCGCTTTGATCGGCCTCCGGAAACATCCCATAATCCCCTTAAGTTAAGTGGCCACTCTTGTCATTGTTTTGGATTTGGCTGTAGGAATGTGGATATCCCCTTTCAAAGCTCCGTATCTGACAGGCGGCATGCTTATCTGCTCCGGGACAAAGCAAGCCATTAGTGTGGAATGTTGCTTGCTGTGAGTGTGTGAGAGAGAGGCGGAGGGGAGGGGGGTCTGAACTTACAAGATAGCATGCTGACACACTCTTAGCACCCCAAAAACCCACTCTCCCCCCCCACACACACACACACAACACACTCCCTGTCACACTCCACCCCACCCTCCGCATTTGAAAAGCATGTTGCAGCCACTTGAACGCTGGGGTAGCTACCACAATGCACTGCTCTTTGTGGCATTGCAAGAGCTGCTAATGTGGCCACGCCAGTGCGCTTCCAGCTGAGAGTGTAAACACTCAGCAGCGTTTTCCCTGCTGCAGTCTCTGAAGGCTGGTTTAACTCCCAGCGCTCTACATCTGCAAGTGTAGCCATGCCCTTAGGTGCACTAAGTCTCTCTGGGAGTCAGTCAAGCTCACGCTCTAAGTGCCTGAGGCCTGGTCTACATTTAAAAATTAGAGTGACTTAGCTACAGTGCTCCGGGCTGTGAAAAATGTTTGTAGCTAGGTCAACCTAACCTTCAGTGGAGATGTCACTCGGTCAAACAGCAGAATCCTTCTGTTAACCTGGCTACGGCCTCAGTGAGGTGGAAGCGCTGGGGAAACGCCCCCCCCCCCTCTTCAGTTGCTGTAGCAAGTGTCTCTGCTACAGGAGTCCAGCTATCCAAAGACATAGATTAGACAGGGGTTGGCAACCTTTCAGAAGTGGTGTGCCGAGTCTTCATTTATTCACTCTGATTTAAGGTTTCATGTGCCAGTAATACATTTTAACGTTTTTAGAAGGTCTCTTTCTATAAGTCTATAATAAATAACTAAACTAGGGTGACCAGACAGCAAATGTGAAAAATTGGGACGGGGGTGGGGGGGAGTAATAGGAGCCTATATAAGAAAAAGACCCAAAAATCGGGACTGTCCCTATAAAATCAGGACATCTGGTCACCCTAAACTAAACTATTGTTGTATGTAAAGTAAATAAGGTTTTTAAAATGTTTAAGAAGCTTCATTTATAATTAAATTAAAATGCCGAGCGTCCCGGACCGGTGGCCAGGACCTGGGCAGTGTGAGTGCCATTGAAAATCAGCTCGCGTGCCGCCTTCGGCACACGTGCCCTAGGTTGCCTACCCCTGGATTAGAGATAATTTAAGTGGGTTTGAAAATCCCACCTGCGGTGAAGAAGGGGATGGAGTGGGATTTATGTGGGGCAGGAATTATTTATTTCGGTGGGGGGGGGGGTGAAAGGGAAGGTCCAGGGGCTGTAGCCCAAAGGGGCTCAGGCCTTAGACTTGACTAGGGTGGGGGTGTCAATTCAGCCCAGTTCCCCCTGCTCCCCGCCTGCCCTCGCTCTGTGTGGGACCAAGGCCTGCCTGGGGGCGAGGCCTGGCATTGCAGGGGCGGTGCTTGCAGCTCCCCCGCCCGGGGAGAGGAGGGCGCTAAGCCCTGGCCTGGGCGACGGGGGCCCCGGCCCGGCCCCGCCTCAGCTAACGGCCTCCCGCGGCCCCGGCCGGGCGGGGACACTCACTCTGCCGCAGCTTGCGCTTGAAGTCGGGGGCGTTTCTCCGCTGCCGGTCGAAGTAGACGGCGTAGCCGAGGAAGGCGAGGCCGCAGGCCCCAGCCAGCAGGCGGAGAAGGGGGCGAGCCCAGCCGCTCATGGCCGCCCGCGCCCAGCCCCGGCCCGCTCTGGAGTCCCGAGAAGCTGGCTGGGCTAGAGCCACGGCTCTCCTCCCCCCCCCCCCCCCCCAGCCCGGGCAGCGCCGAGCGCACGGAGCCGGACCCCCGGCTAGGCAGGGCCTGGGAGCCCCAGCGGGGAGACGCTCCCCCTGCCCCCGGGTGGTTTGGGGGGGCTGGTCAGTGCCTTCCCGGAGCCCCAGGGGGGAGACTCTCCCTCCCCCCCCCCAGGCCCTGGCTGGTTTCTGGGGGTCGGTCTGTGCCTGGGAGCCCCGGGCTCCCCAGCAGGGAGATGGCTCAGGGGAGACGCTTGATCTAGCTGTAGGTTTTGCATAACATTGTGTTGCCAACTCCACCTAGCAGGAAGTGACCAGACTGTATCTCGGCCCATCTTTTCCTGGCCGGGGGCTGTGCTGCAGGCAGGAGCGGAGGGACTGGTCAGCAGCAGCTTCAAACCTCCTTTCCCCCCTGCTCATCGCCGTTGGGGCTGTGTCAGCTCACAGGGCTAGTGTTAATCTCTCTGAACTTGTCCCCCGTTAGCCTTTTACAGCCGCACAGAGCTATATCAATGAAGCCCCACTTCCTTCTCATACAGCGTCCGCCTGGGGGGAGGGCGACTGGACCGCTTGTCAGTCTCAGCTCCATGAGGAAGGGCTGAAGCACAGAGAGGGGATTTGCTAAAGGCTAGACATTGAGACAGTACCAGAGAGGGGATCACAATTTAGGAGAGCCCAGATCTTTTCGCAGCCCGCATTACTGCTCTACCTGAGTGAGGTACTCAGTTGATGAGTGAGGAAAAACTCATACAGCCATTAACATTTATCTAGTCCAGGTCACAGTAAATGCTCACATGGCAAGGATAAAAGACAGAGCCTATTTTCTTTGTTTCCAACCCAACCGTATCCATTAATTATTTGTGCATAAAGGTCCAATAATCAGATTACTTACTTACGTACCTACCCCCACCTCTCTCATAATTGAATAAACATTACATTAGAGAAAGCATATTATTGGGAATAAAAATGTAGGGACGGTCATCTTGCCCTTTCTATTTGCCCCAGAGTTTGCAGAATGCTGCAGTGAAATTGAGCCATCCCATCCATGACTGCAAACTGCCAGGGAATGAACTAGGATCTTTTTTGTATTTGGGTGTGAGGATAAAGAGTTACATATGTCATTTGGTTTGGGACAGCCCTTAAGTTCCTGTAGTTAAACTAATTGAAGCAGCAGGGAAATACTGTTCTTTAAAAACTGACAGCGCATTTGGTGCGTTACAAGACGAGTTTAAGGAAATAACATGATTATCTAGTCAGGGAATCTGGGCTCTAATCCTAGTTCCCATATAAACTTTGCACGACCTTGTAATTGGGCCTTGTTCTTCCCTCCCTATACAATGAAGATTACATTCTATTTCCATAGATGTTAAGCCAATTGAAATCATTCAGCGGAATGCATTATATACTTGCAAAGTATTTTAACAGCTTGGGAAGATAGAGAGCAGAAACTGAAAATGTAGTGATCAGCTATACAGAGAGAAGTAAAGTAAAACAAAATGGCAAAAGAGAACAAAAAAGATGTAGAAAATAGCAAATTTAAAAGCAACTGAACACTTTCCACAGTAAGTGGTAGAAGCCACATTTAAAATTGGACTGTAAAAGGCAATAGAGCTACTGTAAAGTGACACATACTGCCATTCAAACCTGCACTATTCCCCTTGGATAGACACTTGCATACAATATGATCACAGTAACAGCAAATGCCATTAGCAAGGGAGAGAACAGTGTGTCAACCAAAAGCCTAAGTTGTTTTTCTTTTAAAACCCTACCAGCCCTGTACATGAAGTTACTCCCAGGAAATTCAGAAACATTCACTAGATGGTGTATATCTACCTACACTTATGACACAGTGATTAATATTGCCCTGGCAGAAAGGAATTAGATTGGTAATATCTTTTCCAACTCTAACTTCAATATGTCTTGCTGTTCTCAAATACATCCTGTGAGATTTTATAAATGTAGTATTTTCAAAAAAGAGCTCTTAGCTTGTTATAAAGAAAAAAAACTTCTATGATGTAACAAGGTATTAATATAAATTCCACATTTTGTCCTTGTTCAATAAACTGGCATAGTTGGTAGGAGCATGGCAAATTAGGTTAGGCTGTACCCATCTGGGGGATTAGAAATAAAGTAGTTTAGAACAGCATAGAAATTGACGGGACTGGACTGGTGTGACAAAGTGGAAATTTTTTGTAATATTTTTATGAAGCCTGTCTGTACCTCAGTTTCCCCTATATGCTGCATTGTTATCTACTGGTGAAAAGGGAGTTTGCTGTCAGAGCAGGTTAAGACACAGGTGTAAATAGTGCTTAGCTGTCTGGGGGCTTGGGTCCCATATCAATGGAGCTCTTCAGAAGACTACAGCAAATCCAATTGCCTGCACACAGACATGGACACCTAGCAACCAATGACCCACAGAGACATGGACTTCCCTACCTCTCATCAAGGCGACTGAGTTGCATCTCCCTAGGGGGCAGGAAGTGAGGTGGAAGTTAAGTTTTGGCTATGGGAAGCAGTCAGGGGCACGTTGGGAGTCTGACAAAGGAGATCAGATGAAGACAAGAGGGAGACAGAGCTTGAACAATGGGACTCACTACAGCCTGGCTGGGCTCTGGCTACCCAGAATAGACTATGGCTTAACTTTCACTTCTCTGTGATAATCCTGGTCTTCCTGTGCTGTGTTCCAGTCAACTAATAAGCCCTACTGTTTGATAGCACTGCAGATGCTTGAGGAGGTGCACAGCTCTCTAAGATTGTACGAGTCTCCCTCAGGAGTCTGTCTCAGTGGACTCGATGAACAGAGCTGATGGGGTTTCTAACAGCCAGTGAATAAAGGCTTGATTCTTCTTTAGAAGCATGAGGTTTGGGTAGAATACAGGAAGGTGAATCTTTTGGTTAATGTGATATGCCAATGAGACTTTAGGGAGAAAATGGGGATGAGAGCATAGTACAACCTTTGTCCCTATAAAAGGTGATACGTGGTGGACTGGTCATGAGGGCCCCCAGCTCTCCCATTCTTCTTGATGATGTAATGGTGACCAGGAATTAAGTTTTAAAGAAGGAGGTGGAGGAGAGAGCAGGTGGCCATCAGCTTGAAGGAGAGCATCAAGAACCAGGGTGAGCCCCACTGGGGAGCTGGATTTCAGACAGGAAAATACAAATTGTATAGAACTTTGAGGAATCTGTCTGTGATGATGGGAAAAAAGGAAGAGCCACTGAATGGGTGAGTGGAAAGCTGTGATATCAGCCAACTGTACCCTAATAGGTCTTTGATACACCTCTGACTTTTAATTCCACTTGGTAGTCCAGAATCTTGGAAGGCAGAACTTCCAAGGCTTGGGAAGATGGAAGAGAGCACCAAGAATGAAAATGTTGCCACTTCTGGAGGTAAGTCTGGCAGTTCCTGGGCTTTCTACTGGACAAAAACACTGATTGTACTGCAATTTAACAGGTTAATTCCATGGTTTAGAGCCCTTCAGGAGCCACACCCTGAGGTTCAGAGAGGAAGAGTTGGGGTGGATGAGGGACCCCAAATTCTGTGTCAATAGGTCCTCCGTGGTAGAAATTTGGAGGGGTGCCACATCTGCAAAGTGGATGAAATTTTAATAACACACCCATCTTGGCCTGGCTGATACTATGAGAATAGCTTTCACTCTTTCTTTGCGTAGCTTGAAAAGAGTCTTGAGGATTAATGGAATTGATGGATACACCTAAAGCAGGGCACGAGGCCACGGAGCTATCAGCACATCTCCCAGAGAACTGAGACCGTAACTTCCACTGGAGCAAAACAGGAGACCATTGGAGTTGTTTGGGGTGGCAAAGAAATCTACTTGTGATAGACCCCAGGTCTGTCAGACGTTGCAAAAGAGTCTTTGAGCTCCCATTCATGGTGTTGCCAGAAGTGTCTGCTCAGGGACTCCTGCACTTGTATCTGAGTCTGATAGGACCACAAATACGTTTATTGAATGGGAAAAACACCAGTTCCAGAGTCTTAGTGACTCTGCACATAAGGACTGGGATCTTGCCCCCACCTTGGCGGTTAATGTAATGCACTGCTGCCCTGTTCTCTAGCATTGCTCTGACCGAGTGGCTTGACTGTCACGGAGGACGTATTGGCAAGCATAACAAACTGTTCTCCGCTCCAGAATATTGATGTGAAGCAGTGATTCTTGCAGACCTTTTGCCCCAAGCTGTATTTCCCTGCAAGTCAGCTCCCCATCCTAACAAAGATGTGTCTGTTATGAGGCTCTGTGATGGTGTGGGATGCAAGTATGGGGTTGCCATACAGACCCTTTGTGGGTTCTTCCACCACATAAGTGCACCCAACACCTTTGAGGCACAGTGACCCATTTGGAGGGGTTGTGTCTGTTGGGGTGTATATGTTCTTAACCACATCTGGAGACATCCAAGGAGTAGGCTCGCATAGGAAGTCATGATTGTGAAGGCAGATATGTGATCCAAAAGCTGAAGAAAAGCCCTCCTGCTTGGTTGTGGGTTGAACGACAGTGCAGCGATAAGGCCAGATAGGGTGGAAAATCTCTCCCAGGCTAGAATCATAGAAGATATGGGTTGGAAGAGACCTCAGGAGGTCATCTAATCCAACCCCCTGCTCAAAGCAGGACCAACCCCAACTAAATCATTCCCGTCAGGGCTTTGTCAAGCCGAGCCTTAAAAACCTCTAAGGATGGAGATTCCACCACCTCCCTAGATAACCCATTCCAGTGCTTCACCACCCTCCTAGTGAAATAGTGTTTCCTAATATCCAACCTACACCTCCCCTACTGCAACTTGAGACCATTGCTCAAGGATAAGTAGGCTCTTGCTGATGTGGAGTCCAAAATGGCTTCTATGAAGTTTATCCTTTGTACTGGAGTTAGTATAGATTTGTTGTGATTGATGCAAAGTCCTAGTGATTAGAACAATGCTAA